GAGGGAGTGCGCGGGCGCCGGCGCCGCTTGCCGGAGCGGCCGTTAGCGCACAGCTCTCTGCCTGGAGACACTCTGCGTCACTCGGCCCCGGAGCTCGGAGCCGGGCCGCTTGCGTGGGTGCGGTGCCGCCCTGGAGCCGTTAGAGCTGTGTCGCCTCCGCTGAGCCTCGCACTAACCCCGGGCCCGAGGGGAAGAAGCTGCGGGCAGCGCTCACGGCGGGTGTCGGCGGGCCCGGGGCCCTCTGCCCCCATCGCTGCCTCCAGCTCGCTCCTGCTGGAACCGCTCCTTACCCCGTGTCCATTTCTTAAGCGTTGATTGTCAAGAAGCAGGGAGCCACGCTGAGTGCTCACACTCCCTTATCACACTGTTGTAATACAGAAACATGCAGATCTAACGGTGCTTTAAGTGGGTGGAAGATTTGGCTTGGTGTGTGACAAACCTGGCATACTACCCTGGTGCACGGGCAAAGGGCCAGCCACCCTAGGGCACGTTTTCTGTCTACCTCTCCAGAGCAACTGCACGCTTCAGAAAACGCGGCCACTAGTTCAGATTTGTGTTTTCCAGGCTGGTAAAGTTCACAAAGGCTGTCCTCTTGAACGGTGCCTTTTCTCTGGCAATCACCACTCCATTAGCATAACATAAAATTTGCCAACAAATGCGGCTGACAGAGCCATCCGTTTCCTCTCCCACTTAAACCTAGCTTGCACATCAGTTTGGAGCAGCAGAGGAGGGTGTCATCATGGTAAAACATTTTCAAGGGCCTGGTTCGGTGACCCTTCCTGAAACTGGTTCTTGCTCACAGCATAGGCTCCCTGAGAGCAGCAGGCTCCTTTTGCTGGGGCTATCCATTTTCCAATTCCATACAGAAAAATAAAATGAAAATGCTATTGCAGATAACAGAGAATTTTTTAGAGAGGAAAGCAGCCGCTGAGCTTTCCATACATTTTGATTTATGATCACAATGATGTTTTGGAGGTCAAAATGAGTAGCAATACCAGAAGTATTGAAGTGTATATTGATCCAAGGCCCACAACTTGCTAATTCAGTTCTTTACCAATACCAACAGCACTGTTTTACAGAGGCAAGTGGTCTGAAATATGATCTCTTATTAGATAAAAATAAAAGTTGTATAACATTGAGAATTACACATTATTTGCCTTTAGAGACCTTTCAAGCCTCCTTGAAACACAAGTTGGTGGCTTGAGCACATCTTACCAGGCAATCCCATCAGTCTGTACAAGTTTTGCTTCTCCAGGCTCTAAGATTTCCAAACTATCAATAGAAAAAATCTGTAAGAAGTCTAAAATCTGTTTCTTGAAGCACACTAGAAATAAGGTCTGTCTTCCATGATTCCCCATATATAATTTAATGTTGAAATCAATTACATAATTATTTTTATTCCACTGAATATGAATGTTGTTCATAATGGCCACAAACTAGTCACCTGGGTTCTTCTAATCCACAGGAAATTCCCCAGAAGAGCCCCGGTGGTGATTTCCAGTGTAGTATCATGTTATGATTTACCACTAGCAGACCATGACAATGTCAGCCTGTCCAGGCCCTCTGTATTCTGTCAAATCTCAAAAAGAATTGCAACAGGCTGTACTCCAGCTGTACCCTCATCTTTTTCAGGATGCTCTTTCATTTTTTTCCACTGTGTAGAAGTCCTAGTACAAAAAATTTTAAGAGTTTTCAGACCTCTTTGCAGCTATACTTAATTTTCTTGTTCGGTGATTTAAAGTGTCATCCTTAAGAATGTTGCATGCAACACTGCTCTATCAGCTTGATTTTCAGATATGTCTTCCTTATTTTCATACTGAAATCTTAACGATTATTTTCAGTGTGCCCTTTCTGCTGCACACAATCTGCTTGTTTGTCTGTGTGCACTTACACAGTACCTCTGGGTACTGTCTTCCGTCTGAAGAAACACTACAAATCCTACTCTTGTAGTTTTTGCAAGTTTTGGCTTCCTTGGTGGCCAGGCCTTTCCCTTTTTGAACCCAAAGTTACAGTGGTTCCCTAGGTGAGTTGTGAGTGCTTGTCAGCAAGCTGCAAGAGTGGCTTCCTTCCATGGAGGAAGACAACCCCTGCCAAGGCAGGGCAGTGATCTCTCCAAGGACACAGTCCCACCATACTGCGCACAGCAACACAGAGCTGGGCTGGTGACATTAAAAGGTTCTGTTGACTATCCAGCAACCATCAGGCAAATGCAAGGTGACAAGTCAAGAGCCCAGGTCAAAGACAAGTGAAGAAGTTAGGAGCAGCAGGAGAGAGGGCTGGGCACAAGCCTACCTACAGCAGAGCTCAGGCAAAGCCCGGGCTGGAGCTTGGATGCAGCACCTGGACCTGTGTAATGAGGGTAAAAATGGGGCAGGACATGCTGGGGCTCCTGGTGCACTCAGGGCCCCATCAGCCAGCCTTCCTCATCTTCCTAGTTCTTCCTCAGTGTAATCATTACCCTTTTCCTCATACCATCTCTGTCAGCAGCACCTTGCCACCCCCCTATGCTTCATGCATATGAATCTAGCATAAAATATGAATGAACACAGTAGAACATGGCTGAGTTGTTCCAGATCAAAACCACTGTCACCAGCCCATCACAGTATCCTATGTAGAAATATGTCTAGGAAGAAAGACAGCATACAGACATCCAGCTTGGGTATCTACACTGAAGGGCCAGACTTCTAGTGGAGTCCAAGTAGGAGAGAGCAGGTGTCTGAGGGCAAACTCCACCTACTGTCTTTTAAAAAAATCAGATGACTAAGGGTTTTATGGTAAATATTACACATAGGTAGTGAAAACGATCTTTAGCACTGGGAAGAACAAAAAAACAAGTGAAATGGGTCTTTTATTTAGTCAAAATATTTTTATTTGGCTGTATTTAGCAGAAGGTTTGCTTTCCTCCCTGCCCCCCAGTTGTTTGATCATTATTTCTGATTTCTCAGGCTTCCATTCTTTCAGTACAATATATTAACACCTTGCACCTCGTCAGCACTTTCCAGTTAAGGCTCTCAAAGCGTTTACAGACATGAGTTAACTAATCCTCACAACAGTCATTAGCAGTAGGGAAGTAAAATGATCTGCATCTGCAGAGAGAAGTTAAGATCAACTTGTTTCAAGGTTTTCTTTGATTTTCAGTGTCCAGCTTGTATTATGCTGGGTCTGATGAACATGTGTCCTTGCAGTTGTGTTTCATGCTTTTGAAAGAAAGACTGAGTTTGAGCACTCAAAATTAAAGCTATTTATGAAAATCTTTCTTTAGTAACTTGCTGAAGGTCACACAAGAAGTAAGCGGCAGAATCCAAAACTGGGAACAAGGCGTAACTTCCAGTTTTGTGCTATACTATGAGACATAAATCTTTGTAACTTACCTTTGGACTTTAAACCCAATCCATTCCCTTCTCCTTACACATTATCCTTTACTGACCATTTCCAGAGACTTCAACCTCAGGTACTTACATTCTGCATTTTACTAGCAAGTTTTAGATGAGGGTCTCCACAGTCATCAACTGTATACCGTATACAATGCCTCTGGGTGACTGTAATGAGCCTTAATAAGAAAACTCACCAAAACCCCAACAACCTAACAAGCAGTGGGTGTGGACTTTATCTTTGAGTATTCAAAGCAAACTTCAGAGTTTATGGAAAAAATCTAATATGTGATTGTTTTAAGGAAAACACCCTCAACCCCAAATCTGGTTCAAATGGAAGACTATTAACTTGACATTAATACCTTCTTATCAGTAGTGCATCTGCATAGAGATTCTTCATAAAAACCTGCAAATTCACAATTATACCTTGCAAACAGAAGTACTATGACTGTTCAAGCAAACAATTTTAAAATATCCATTCAGTTCACGTTAAATCCATCAGAAGATACTGGCATGAAACACAGACGAAACTTTTTCTTAGTTAGGTTAACACTGAAAATTCAAACAGTCAGACAAACACAATGCAAGTATTTTAACAGAAACAATATAAAATTTCACTGGCTTAAAAAACATCTAAATGAGAAATCTTGGTTATTTCAATGAATTGCTAGATTTAAAATGCTACATTTAAAATGATGCATTTACAGAACTATTCAGATGAATTAAGCTTCTGCTATAACACTAAATACTGGAATTCTGATAGATTGTGCAAGTATTAAAAAATATTAACATTTTAAATGTTAACATTACAATTTTAAATAGCTTTGCAAGTGCAATGTTATAAATATTAAACAAACCTCAGAGCTACAATTTTATATAAGTTATATGAGTAAATGAAAGTGCTTTTCAAGTATTTATGTTCATTTACAGTTGGATTATCTAAGTCAGTGCTTAGATGGAACAATTTGAGTATCAGTCTTTTTAAAAAAATTTGGATGTGTACATTTAACTGGATGGAATAAATAGTTTCATTTGCAGAAATGAGTGATAAATATTTAAATACAGAATATAATTTGTGATATATATTTAAATATGGAATATTATAAAATGCAAATATTATATTTTTTGTGTCTGTTAAAACAAAATAGAGATCACATCCTGATGGGTGTGTGATAACCTGATAATGCCATGGGAGCCCTTGAGCCATACAGTAATTGTTAATTCCATCAGAATCCCAAATTACGATATAGTAAATAGTTGTTCTTCAGTAGAGACAAAAGCATGTGAATAATAATAGAGGCCCAATACTGTCAACTTTTGAAGAATTTAAAAGATCTCATGATCTGTGTCAAAAGCCGTGGAATCTAATGAAAACTTTCCAACACTTTCAATTAGTCAGCCCTCAGCCATCGTCACTCTGGAGAACACAGCTAGTGCACATCACCACTGTTCTGTCTGCACAGTGCATGGTGCAGCTCCCTTTCTGGCTAGTCAAGAACCATTATTATTGCAGTGATACAAAAAAGACTGTATTGCTGTTTGCCAGCCAGAGGAAGGGTGAGGTAAGTGGGGAGATACTTGTTTATTAGACAAGAAAACCAAAACAAAACAACCCTAAATGAATCATTATGTATTTAAAAGTGCACTGAAAATATCTCCTACTGAACCCTATCTCTCTTAAGTGCCAGATTTTCATCTTAAATTATATCCACTTTGAACACTGAGCATATGTAAGCTGATATTAGAGCATTTAGTTTGTCGTGTGGTTTGAAAAGCACATGACACAAGGCAGCATTAACATCTTTCATTAGAGATCTGGCAATGCCACAGTTTTATCATGAAGATGCAGCTCAGAAATGACAGTTCAGCAGAAGCCCCTGCAGACTGCCATTACAAGCTTTCTCCAACAAAGTGCTTTCTCATTTGCCAAAGACAAAAGTCAAACTGTTGCCCTACCTCACCACAGTGCTGCATTGGCAATTTACAATTTTCTTTCCAGATGCAGTTGGACTTTTAATAAATTACAGTTCTTCATAGTTAGGCAATTCTTTGTAATAAAAGCAGTGTTTCATGTTCCAACAACAGTGGCCACTGTTTAGGCTGGTCTCTTCATGCACACCTGACAACGGCTGATGATATTTTCTAGTTCTCCAGCTTTCAAAGTCTGTGGTAGAGGTTTCCTAAAACAAGGAAAAGATACATTTACTTTTTTCTTTAAAAAACAGGGAGAGATGATGAAACTCTGGATATGGAATTACTGACAACATTGGAATCCTTGGCTCGCTTAAGGCATCTCTGAGCTACAGAATGACCCTAATCCTAACAAAGGGGGGTGTCTAAACTGATGGGAATTCCTAGGGGACCCCCCACGTTATGCAGGCAGTTACTGTCTCCTTGGGCATGGATGTGATGTGCTTATGGATGCAGGAAAGTACAGTTTACCTGAACATTCTTCTTGGATTTAATGATGCCAACCAGAAACTGTAGGAATTTGTGTAGTAGTTGCATGTCCCCCTGCCATGGCACTCTATGAATGGGATGGCTCGAAATTCTTCCAGACAAGATCCAGGAGATGCCAATGCTTGGCCAGAAGCTTCTGAGCCGGCACTTGTATACTGTAACCACCAATACATTTTTTAATGAGAACTTGTCCATCAGCTTTTAGTAAACTGCAGGCAAAAAAAAAAAATCTCTTTCTAAAACATACCATATGTTCTGTGGTATATCTCGGACAAAACAAAATGAACACATTTGTAACAAATGTGTAACAAATTTGTAACAAAGCACATAAGCCTTATGAAAATTCAAGCACAGTTATGGCATTTCTTAAGTCTCTGCAAAGGCCTTTTTCTGCTCCACGAAAAGGCATGAAACTGTAACCAGTATGAAGACTAGGAAGTAGATGGCTTCCATCCAGTTGAGGACTACAGTAACCAAATAGGCCAAATCCCCTTTTTGTGTGTGTTCATCTTTTCTGTTGCATTGATTGTGTCTCCAAACACAAAAACCAAAGGCATTTTCCTTCTCTGACGTTGGTAAAAGCTTGTAGAAATAGCTCTAAAATAATTTATGACAGTAAAAAATTGGCTAGAAAATATAAATTGGTTGATGTTGGAAACAAGCAAATTATTTTAACCAGATGCTGCAAAAGTTATCTCATTCTTTTCCAAGATTATTATTATTACTACTACTACTAAGGGCCAAATCCCAGGAGAAACAAATTTCACATTAGACTTAAAAGGACTTTTACATGATGAAAAAAAGAGGGGTCTTTAATTTGTCTTTTACCCTCATTTGCTGGCATTCCCATGACATTGCACAGGCATGGATAAAAAAGATGAAGTGCTACGTCCCCTAGTATAGATACACCCGCATCTTTATTCCTATGATCAGATCTCAGTTTGCAGTCACATTATGAACTTTCTTCACTCATATCTCATTATGGAGTCAAAATTGCTGAAGCAGTCTTTTGTACACAGTGTTCTGCATTTGTTTTGATTTAGCTTTCTGTGGAGTTCAGCCCCAAGATCTGATTTATAAAAGAACTGCCTGGCATGGAAGCAGGTCAGTTATTTCTGTGTATTTGTGTTCAGGACTGGTTTAACCACTCCACTCCCCAAACTTGTTTCCTAGATCTTGGCATGACACATGAAAATGAGAGCACTCAGTTATTTCTGTCCGACTAAAATCTTACGGTTCTTCCTTCATCTTTTCCCCCTTTTCCTCCTGATACCTGTTTTTGAGATCAGAACAGTTGTTCCTATGCTTCTGGCACTCAGTAAGAATTAATAGAGTTATCGTCTACTTCTTTGCAAAGGAAAATAAAATAACATAATTATTAAGAAACAAATTAGCTATGAGGGGATAAAAATGCCAATGAAAGTGAGAGGCCATAAAATTAATAATTCAAGTCTTTAAATCCTTACCATAACAAATGAAAAACCCTTCCAGAGAGATATCCAGCCTTCTGGACATGCAGGAACTATAGTTGTTTGGCTATGAACTGCTATTACCATTGCAGCTCCTTCACAGACAACACACCTGTAAGAAGACACATGCATTCAGTGCAGATATGAGGGAAAACATGAAAGCAGACCAAAATTGTGTCTTCTAGGATAGCAGCTACCTAATGGCAGAGCTTACCATAAATGTTATAATTCACACAGGTTTTATTGTCTGTCACACCAGACAAAAATTGGTATGAGGTGGGAATTAGTCCCAGAACATTTGAGCTTCCTAATCTTGCCTTTACTGAAGTAACAAGCTAAATTTTACCTTCATATGTTCACTACTTTATGTTGTTATGGTTTTGATCAAAGTTCTGTACCTTTATTTGCCAAGATTAGAAAAAGTAATCTTTATTTCCGAAATGAAGAAACTATGAAGCTGAGCTACTAGACAGGCAACAACAGGGGTAGGGCAGGCTAGAAGACAGAGTGCAAAGCTTGCTTTTCCATCTTTGTTTTTGCTAGTCATGGTCTTTCATGTTTTTAGAGCTTTTCCTCTTAAGATGCTTTTTGTCCTTCTCAGCTGTTCTAAAGCAACTAGAAAGGGCCACGTTTGCACAAGGGTGTTTCCTAGCAGAGAACCTTCAGCCCCAGCTTCTTCACCAATTACAGTAAATGTATCACATGTCATTGAATGCTGAACTTGATTTATACTCTATTCCAAATAATGAAGCTGTCTTTATTTCATTTTAGTCTGCTTCCAATATACACAACATACTTCTTTAAAAATATCACTGCAGCCAGTAGGACTGGGTACCATCTTCTCATGTCAGATATGAAGATTAAGCCCTGTAGCGGGACTCTAGCTTTAATCTAACTTTTCTTAGAGTATCACTGAGTATCTGATATATTCGGGTGAGTAATCAAAAATCAGGTGATTAAAAACAGTGCTTGTACTGGCTGAAATGGGCAGGTGTTTGCCTAAGATTTGCCATTCAAAACAATTTATAATATTGTGGTTCCAGGCGAGAAGAGCTAAAACTCTTATACTCTTACCTGCTTATATGGGGCTCTAGTGCCCTTCCAGAAATTGGTGCCATGTCTACTGGCATTACTGCTGCAGTTGACAGCCAGTATGAATAGTCATTGCGAGAAGCAAAACTACAAATGTCATTGGTGTTACAGAATAAGAATGGCATGGTGGTAAACCTCTGCAAGCAGCTACCAGCTGTTCCTAAAAGACAAGAGAGGAGAGGTTTGTGACAGATAGGAGATTACATTTAGTGCAGCAAACAGAAGAGACAGATGATGGCATCCAATCTACTATAGTGAGAATTAAAACAGTTGTAACTATAAAGGGAGAAGAAGTGCCTGTACAGTGGAATTGTTCAAAAGCAAAATGCTTATGTTATATATAAAAATATATACATAAAAATAATGGCTAAGAACAAAATCTTGCATCATGACACAGTGCACAGAACAAAATCAGCTGCTTAAACAAAAGCTTCTGGTACCATTTTTGACACCCTAAAGCACCCCATTTGGTCTCCAAAAAAGCAAGATTCTCTCTCAGATCCTGTGTTATTACTGTCAGCCCTGTGCAGATGTTGTGAACATTTATATGCTATTTAGATGTTGATCCATCCATAAGTAACTGAATTCCTTCTCAAAAGTGTCTACAGATAGCAAAAATGGAATACAGTAGTGCAGGAAAGAAAGGTGTCTTTCAAGCTACGATTCCTGAGTTGACTCCGAGCAGCAGACCACTCTGGAGACTCATGGTTGAAACCAATGTTCATCTCAGAGACTTACTATGAGTTTGGTTTAAATGACAACCTAGCATTACTGAGCTCTTACAGAAAACAATCTGAAAATTTTTACCAATACAGTACCAAGATCTTGTCCATGTGCTCGTTCATTTCCTTGTACAAAAAGCAGTGAATAGCCAACATAGATCTGTGATGTCCCATATGGGCATGAAGGAATCTTTGTTGACTGACTATGCCGGGTAAAGATAAAACCTCTTCTTGTTGGACCAGCAATGATAGTACCTGGTAATCCAGGTAACCCCTGTAGACCTGGAAAGCCAATCAGTCCAGGTTGTCCTGTGTAGGGGAAAGAAATATGACTTCAAATGTTATAACTGAATTTTTTCTTCATTTAAATCAGTGGAACCACTTGAAAACATTTATCAGTAAGAAGATACAACTTGAACATCAGTGGTATTTGTTGCTAGATGTATCAGCTCCTTCAGACCTAGCTCAGGTAGATTTATATTTCATAGTTTCATGGAATAGTGAGGTATTTTAAAGAAACATGGCCATTTTTACTAAAAAAGTTGTAAAAACATTTTATGGTGACTAAAAATATTTAGTTATATTTTGATGTCATAAAAAGGCACACTGATACCTAGGGATTTCAAGTGGATAAATAAATGTGATTAATAACAGAGGAGCACAGTCAAGCATATTTTTGTAAATTTCAGTTGGGAACATGCATCTGTTAAAAGCTAAGAATGTGCTTACATGTGCTTCTAGCCCTAAAGCTACTGTAAATGTTACAGAATTTCAATACATGCAAGAGGAAAGCATCTACAGAAATCAGAAATACAGTTTATCTGTAAATTCAGTAGTAGCAGTCAGAGACGTCTGCTTTCCTGTACCTCTTTGTCCTGGAAATCCTCTGTCTCCTTTTGGACCAGGCAGTCCTGGTTGACCTGGACGACCGAAACTTCCTGGTAGACCTTTTACTCCTTTAAGTCCTAAATTGTGATCCAGAAAAAATGAGAATCATATAGCACTAGTTATCCTAGATTTTAATAACTGTTAATGAATAGAAGTTAAAATCCCCAAGTAAATGTAGTTGCATTAGAATAAAAACATCAGCATGAATTTACAAAGTTTTGAGACTGTCTGTAGTGTTACTGTATTTCCTATCAGGAAGCTTACAAGGAAATATTGAATGTATTGCAGAAAAATATTATTTCCATAAGAAATGTTTACAGAAACCAAAGCAAATAGCTTTTTTTTTTTAGCTTGTGTCATACAACAGAAATATTTAAAAATCGTGGTTACAGTTTATAATTTTATAAATAATGCACCTCCTTTTTAAAACAACTTTAAGTATAAAAGAACAGTTCTTTCGTGCCTGCCTTGATATGCTGGAGGCAACTGTCATTCCTGAGTGGGGCATGCCTCCTGGCAAGCCTGCCCCCTGAGGAGCTCCCTTCCTGGGGTGAAAAGCTGTGCTATTGAGAAGGGTGGCCAAGTACCCATTGCACATCCACCCCTCAACCTACTCGCTCCTTGCTTCCCCATTCTTCACAGCCGTGACAGCCTTCTCTTCTAGTGCCAGTGGAGAAGTAGCCAGCCTCTCCTTCCGCTTCCCACCCCCAGACTATAACAGTCACTTCATAGCACATCTATGTGTGGTAATTTTGCCCACAAAATGACAAACATGCTAGCATGGTTCTGGTTGTATGAAAATGGTGAATGTTTTGATCCAAGTTTACTTTTTAGTCCATTATTCTGTTTAGGCTTATGTTGAGGGAGAAACTTACTCACTGATTGTGAGGGTGGATGGCACGTGAAATGGGACCAGTTATAAATACAAGGTTGTTAACAAGGTACAAAGAGCTATTTTTAAATATGGAGAGGTATTTTTAAAGACAGATCAATTTTCTATCCAGATGCATGTTTTCCCACCAAACAAAAATGTTTCACTAAGCAGCACACAAACATACAGAGATAAAAGTATAAACCACCTTGTAGTCCAGGAATTCCTTGAATGCCTTGATCACCTGGTGTTCCTGGGATTCCTGGCAGTCCAGGAGGACCCTTACTTCCTGGGACAGAGAATATTCTCCCAGAGACTCCAGGTGGACCTAACAGCAAAAATATAATGGAAGAGCTATTGTTTTATATTAAAAGAAAGCAAACAAACTACAAAACAGAACAAAATTAATCAACTTAAGTCAGCTGGTATTAGAATGAGAAGGGTTGGTTACCATGCTGGCCCTTTGGTCCCCTTGGCCCTTCTGCACCTTGTGGTCCAGGGGGTCCTTGATTACCCTTTTCTCCTAAAAAAAGAAGATTGAAGACGCATGTCAAAACAACTGTCAAAGTTTCAGAGGCTTATTTAAGTGTCCTGCAACCTTCCCAAAGAGTAACACAGTCTGTAGACTCATCTGAAATGCAACAGTGGACTTTTACATTTCTGCTGTTACTGTATAATTTATAGGCCAAATGCACTCAGATTATAAGAAGATGTTTCCATGCCTATCTTCATAAAATGGCTGGTCCCGCAAGCCGAGTTTAAAATCTCAACTTTAGACTATGTCATTTTTATCTTATGTGGTTTTGTCACTGAGTTTGCAGGTCAAGTGCTGCCTTCAGTGATGCTATGCAGTTCAACTCCCTTTAAACCTTACTATCAGTTATGCTGATGGCTCTTAGGAGGGTTGTATAGTTTTTCAAGTGTTTGAAACTTAATTAACAATTATTTTCACTGTGCAAAATATGAGGTTACATTCAGATTACTCTCCACAGCTTTTCTGGAAATAAATAAAAAAAAAAAAAATTGGTATCATTAAGTCCGGAGATTTGACTGACTATTCCATGAAATGAGAGTCTTTTGCTTAAGTATAATTACTGTCTGTATGGTGACTTTTCAAATTAGAACAAATTTAAAATACACAATAATTACCATGGAACACAAAACAGTAGGTTGTACAGTCAATGACATTTTTGTGTCACTGTAAATCATGCAGCTGAAAAATGAGAATACTGGACTAATGCAGACCTATATCAGATTTAAATCACTAGAAAATATATATAAATTAAAAGGATTTTTAACCAGCTACTGATCCAACTAACCCTCAGCAATATGAAATTAATGAATCCAATACATCTAACAGTTTGTCTGCTGATAAACTGGTAAATTAGGTTATAATTGGGACTATTCTTACAGCCAACAGAGGACCCAGTGCTCTGTGTTGTAATTGTGATTAAATGCTCTTGAGTTCCACAGCTAAGAGGTTGCCAAGAAGTCACATTATCTAGCAATGGTGTGGCACTTCTAATTAGCAGACTCAGTCCCAAAGTCCTTACACATTATTAGTCACTAAGGACAAATTGTTTTGAATTTGCCTGGAATGCAGGTGTTTGAAGTTTCAGCCTTTCCTCAGTTTAACATGTTTGAACATAGTCATAACATCTAACTCAAAGAAAATGGTCTCTTAGTGAACACTTCCATTTACAGCTGACATACACCCTGCCCTTGATGGAAAAACCTCAAGTCTCTATTACACAAATACTATTATAATGCAACACGTAAATGGTTGTATTTGGCCCACAGAAGTGTATGTAATAAATATATGAATACCTTTTACACCTGGGAATCCAATAAATCCAGGGTCCCCTCTAGCACCAGGATAACCTGATCGACCTTCTATTCCCTGCAAATCAGGTAACATCAATAATAAACAGGAAGCAGCACCTGCGTGCTATAAAATACTTTTCCTTTTTATCAGAATATTCAAGGCATTATGTTAACTGAATATGCTACAACTAGAATTATCTGCATTTGTGAGCATGTTAGAAATAGTCATATGATTGTTAATATCATTCTGTAATACCAAATGGCCAAGGAAATGACATTCCAGAAATTCATAACGATTTCTTTTTGGTCCAATTAAGTACATAAAAACTAATTTTCATATCCATTTTAATATCTTTCCTCCGTTACAAAGGTTTTTTGGGAGGATGTGGGGTTTGTTTGTTTGTTTGTTGTTTGGTTGTTTTTTTTTTTAAAGTTGTCCTGGGTGTTATTTTCATGATAAGAGCAAATGAACAATGGAGTAAGAAAGAAGCAATATTCTTTTCACTGACTTTTGGACCAGGAGGACCAATGTCACCGGCTGGGCCTGTTGGCCCTGGTATACCATCTGCCCCTCTAACACCTTTGCTTCCTTTCATGCTGGGAGTGGAGAGACCAGGAGGCCCTGGAAAACCAGGAGCACCTGCACAGAAACAACAGAATAAGTAAAGGTTACGGCCAACAGCATTTCACATACATTACATACAACGCAGTACAACATTCAGCAACTCTATAATGGTGCTCATGTTTACCACCTCAGTGATTCCCCTGAAAATATACACATTTAAAAATAAAAAAAAAAATCAACTAATTTTTCCTAGCCTGCTAGTTTAATCTGAGATCAGAGCTGAGCTCTTGCAGTACCCTACAGCACTACAGTTTTCAGAATATCCTCCAGTTGTAGTTATGCCTGTAATCATGGATTCATAGAATCATTTAGTTTGGAAAAGACCTTTAAGATTGAGTCCAACCATAAACCTAACACTGCCAAGTCCACAACTAAACCATGTCCCTAAGTGCCATGTCTACACACTCATGCTATCTAATTTCTTGTAAAGTTGGATCTCAGCTGCCCTACAGACCGCACGGGAAGAAAGCAAAATAATGCAATCAAGTGGACTGCAAAGCTTAGTGTTCTAATTTACATCAACAGCATAGACCATCACAATGTTTGTAATGGTAACACTGCATTAACTGGTAGAGGAACTACCTGTTTAATTACGAAGTTCTCTTGGGGGAAGACCCCTTTCAACCTTGAGTTCTGGACAGGTTGAATTCTGCTTTCAATTATTAGTGTATCATGTCAGATAAAAAGGAGTTATAGCAACACACCTGGTCTTCCATCTGCACCAGCAATACCTCTATTCCCTTTTTGGCCAGTAATTGCCATGCCTGTTGCGCCTTGAAATCCAGGTAACCCCAGTAAGCCAGGAGGTCCAACAGGTCCTTGATCACCGTGATGACCTTTCATACCTGGTGGCCCTGGAAAACCAGGCAGTCCCATGTCCCCTTTGATTCCTGGAAAGTATAAACATTACTTCTGAGGAGAGCTGTCAAGGTGGTAAGATGATGTAACTACACAGAATATGTGCATTTACTATACCACAAAGGTGGAATTCATTAAGTATGGAGAAATTCCCAAAGCCACCTCGCTACTGTACAGCAAAACAGTTGCAAGAAGACAGGACTTGCTGCAAGGTAGTGTATTCACCACTCTCCTTTCCATTTTTTTAAAAAAATGCCACTCCAGAAATTGCTCATACAAAGGAATAAACTTGAGAAGAGGGTAGAAAGACCAGAGCAGGGAATATTTCTCGATGCATAAGTAGAAATGCTCTCTGAACATCAGAACTGACAAATCCTTTTAAATTAAATTCCAGCTAAAAGCATCAATATGAATACAACAAAATAAGAGACTACTCCAAAAGGATACTGTTCTAAGGTTGGTCTTAGAATGCATGATCTATTTATGGAGGATATGAAGACAGAATTTCTTTCTTTCTTTCTTTATTTTTAAGTAAAGCAAATCAATGGACTTCCACCAGTACTAGAAATACAGTGGAAAACCTAAGAAATGGAAAGACTCCCCTCAGTAAACTGTTCACCAATATAAAAGGGGAGATGAGCAAAATTAAAATGCCATCACTGCAGCTTTCTTACAGTATACTTAGTATTCAGCAGCATCATGTGTTTTCACTAGAACATACTCTGTTAGGTTATGTATCAAATTTCAAAAGCTCTGGAATGTGTATACCACCTTCACAAAATCACATAAGTTACCATCTTTATTTCCCTTTTACAATAGTCTTAACTTTACAAGCAAGAACTTTTGACATTTAATATATAGCACCAAATCATTGAGATCAACTCGTGATTTCCTCCAACACTTTGTGCCATTTCAAGCATCCAAAAGCAGGAAGCAACATAAAGGCGAAGATGATGAATCTGTATTTAAAAATTCAGGTTTTGCTTTCTGAAAAGACAACTCACCTCTACGACCAGGAATACCTCGAAGGCCAGGGATTCCTCTCCCAGGTGCTCCTGTAAAATATTAGGTCACATTATACTCAAAGTCCTGAACAATTGTTAGAAAACATTCTAGTTGTCTATTTCATATTTATTGGGAATTCACTGAATCAAAACATAGATTTTTTAGTTATATGTAAAATACAGTTTCTTGATTATTTCCATTTCTTCTATCCAGAAATCCAAATTAAATTTGTAATTTTTTATTATAGTAGGAACTTACTGATCAATCATATTTGAAGTACATTCTACAGTAATAAGCTTTGTCTTTTTTCAGACAAAGAAACAGAAGAAAAATCTGCATGTTACTAAGAGAAACAGAAGAAGAAATGCAAATACCTAAAAAAGAAAATATACTAACAGTGACTACTTCAAACAATATGAAAACACTTAATACTATGAATGCCTTCTCAGTATCCTCTTTATACTAATATACAAAGAAACATTTTCACTGTAAAATAAAAACAGTTTCTGTTGGAATTCAGTGGAGGACTAAATCTATCTGTGAGCATTGATGACATCAGGAGTGACATTTAAATGAAAGGTTTTACAACCCAAGAGCCCGGTCACAGAAACCTTCACTGTTCATGTAAACACTATGATTCCTTTATCTCGCATCCATAGAAGAGAGGAGTCTCCTTGAAAAGAATTTTGGTTATTTTCATCTTTTTGAGATTAAACACACAAGAACTGTTAAGAGCAATACTTTTTTACTAAAAACATTTTTAGGTGATATTATCACGCATCACATGTATAATAGAGCAGCGACATGTACATTTGGGTTGACAGCATGTACAACAATTACATAGAAAAACCTGTGAATTATGTAAAAGTGAAAAACCTTCTACTTATAAATTTATCTTTGGCTTCACAGAAGCTCCTTATTAATCCTTCCCAAATAATCCTTGTCAGTTTAACTAGCAAAAAGAACAAATGTCAAATAGAATGAAAATATTTCACTGGTGTTACCTGGTTCTCCCTTTACTCCTGGGGGACCAGGCATACCATCCTGACCTTGGTTACCTCTCTCACCAAGTAGTCCATTTTTTCCAGGGTCTCCAACAGCACCTGTGAATTATAATGGACCAGAATATCATTTTCACTTCTATTATTTTACATTTCAAATGGAGAAGATACGAGTTCCCTTTATTAAAATGTAGTTAGTCCAGCTACTTCAAAGATAGATTTAACTGTGTAGGCATATAAACATTTGTAAAGAGCAGCATATAATTTTTACTGAGCTCACTGGACTCCAACACTGTTGTCACAGGCAATAACTTCCTGTCTTTTAAAGACATTGTAGGACCCTGCCTTTGATTTAACCGGTGCTGGTGGGAATCCACACAGGCAGCATGGTTTCTCTCCCTGACTGGAGTAGATTCTGATCTTTGCTAAGTCTGCTGATAAGCCAGTGTAAATTCACTAAGTCTATAAACCCACAACATCGCAATTTTGACGAGGATCTCTGAAAATAAGAGCATTCAATGCTCTTTTGAAGACAGTGACTGGCACTCACTTTTAATAAAGTCTGCATTGCATACCTCCTTGTTGCTGCATATTTACACACTCCCCCTTATGCGTATTTTGAATGGTTTGATCTTTTCTGCCCCCTCTTTCCACTCTAATTTTATTCTCCTCCTCATCTAGCTATGTCTTAGTTTATTATTCTCTTCTAGGAGATAAAACAAGCTTTCCTTACAATTGTGTGGATATCACATCTTGAGACGTTTGGATTAAAAAAAAAAAAAAGGCAAAAAGCTTTACGATAGCGAAAAAAATGTAAAACCTCTTGCCTCGGTTGTACTGATAACATTGAAAACAGGCTTTTAAAGACCTTAGCTGGAACCAGAGAAGGTAAACAAAGCCTCGAACTAAGATAAACAGAGACTGCAACTGCATCAGTTAAATTCCAAAAAACTCAGAACATCAACTACCTCATTACAAAGAAAGTAACAAACCAGGGGGCAGTGATTTGGGAGATACGCTATATACCATACCAGGAGGGCCTGTAATGCCCTGTTGCCCTGGGCGGCCCGGCCGTCCTTTAACACCAGTATCTCCAGGAGGTCCAAGCTTCCCTGTAAGAAGAGAGTGTGGGAAAGGAGAAGAGGCATTATCACTAGATCCAGACTCAGTCTGAGAACTTTGTTATCATTTCTGCTTCAGTCAGCTGTGAAAAGATTTCTAGCTGACACTAGCTAGTCTGGCTGCACTGACTACAGAGGAGCTGTTTAGGTTTACAGCAGCTGAATACAAATGTGCCAGCCCACAGGCACCCTGTGTAGTTATTAAATTTATTGTAGTTTATCTACTCCTAGAAGCATGTCAACATCTCATCATCCCACTGAAACAACACATACCTGGGATTCCTGCACCTCCAGTTTCCCCTCTGATCCCATGTGGTCCTGGTACTCCTTTGTGTCCTGGGTGACCTTGGGATCCTTTTTCTCCTTTGATGCCCAAAACTCCTGGGAGGCCTGGATCTCCCTGAGAAGTAGCAGTTGCACACAAACAGGTAAAGAATCACATTACCGTAAATACATTACATTTCATAGTTGAACAAAAGAAAAATCATATGTAATTTTAAATGTTAAGTAAGTGTAATCATGGTTCATTATGATTCTCAGACAAAAATCTAAGTAGGCTAATATGAAGTCTTACAATACCACTGATCTTTTAGACATACCTAAGAAAAGATTTTTCTTTGATATGTACAAGCTAAATTAAGTCTTCAGATGTTTTCACTTGCACATAGACTTACCTTCAATTTTATTCTAACAGCTCCTGTGGTTCAAAACAAACATTCCTTACAAAATGTACAGCTAAACAAAATACTAAAATGCCTATTTTTCCTTAAATTCCTAGTGTTTTTCACACCAGTACTCTCCTTGTGGCTACCCAGCTAGTACAGAAAATAAACAGATAATTTAGACAGTTTACAGGAGTTGCAGTACAGTTTACATCCTTAACCACGTATTTCAGATAATCTCATATGTAGAAAGACTCCCAGTTGTTCGACAACCAGACTATGCAGAATAAAATTGTAAGATACTGTTTTTTTCTTAGCAATACATATTACTGAACATAATATATACCGAACATAACATATATTGCTAGAAAAAAAACCAATTCATCCTGTGTAACGGTATTACGAGACTGTCAAAAACCAATAGTACAATTTTAGGTTACAAAACTTTTGGATTTGTTAAAATTATGTTCTTCTGTACTTTTTAATGTACAAATGTTCCCACTGCTGACTTTTTAAATGGAAGTCCTTGTTCTTAATGGATGAGCAACTTTTACAGAAACTTTACAAATAAATTCTTGCACCAAGAGACGAATGAAATATAAAGAACTCAAAAATTTCTGAATAATGACTCCACAGACTTTTTGCATTTCTTATCACTAACAAATCATCTACTTCCACAAACTCTACAGCTCTTGCTTACATGTTGTTCTGTTTCTATAGTCAAAGGCTCTGCTTACTGCCTAATACGATGCTGTTCCCATTGCCTTCATACCTTTGGACCAGGTTCTCCTGGAGGCCCAGCAGATGGGTACCCAGGATCTCCTTTGTCACCCGGAAAGCCACCATAGCCTGGTGGACCAGGGTCACCTGATGGTCCTGGAAAGCCTGGAGATCCTTTCTGTCCTTTTGGACCTGGAAAAAGAAAGATACTGAGACAATTCTTAAAAGGATCCCAATTGCATACCACACCTCATGTTTTGTGAACTACTGCTTGTATATTCAGATATTCATTCTTCATTAAAGTAATTTACACAGCCAGTGATTTTTATTTCTAAACATATTTAAAAAAGAGGTTCTTACATGTAACAATACATAAATTAAAGAAGTTATATTTCATTTAGGGAGAGGGAGAACAGCATTCTACAAGTGAAGCAAATGCTGGGGTGGTGTGAAGTGTATAGTGCTGCAAAGAATAAATCCCAGTCTAAGTATTGTTTAGTGTGCTTACAGTAACTGCTCAAATCTGTGCAAATGCTTCTATACAGCTCTATGAACTTGTAATATGGCTTGACAGAAAATGACCTGGAATTCCCATGTCCCCTTTGTTTCCTGGTGCACCTGGAAATCCTTGTCCTCCAGGAATCCCTGGAAGACCCATAAATCCTTTGACACCTGCAAGATGAAGAAATAAGTGTCATCATCACATGTTTGCTTTAGACACTAGCTGGCTAGCAGAGCTGTGATAATACAGAATCCTCTACTGCACACACCTTGTCATGGTATCTTCTTATTTTGTAAATCAACATGCAGCCTTTGCCCCAGATGCAGATAAAATTATCATCATTATTGTTGTTTGAAAGTCAAAGAAATAACAAGCATCTCATGGATCAACATTAAAATTAAGGTTTGTGACCACAGCACTTAGGAGAAGCAACTGAAATATACCTTTGCAAATTCCGATCAAGATCATGAATTTATATTTATGCACTGGACTCTCCTTTCATTGTCTCCCTGAGTTCAGTCTGGTTTCTGTGCATGTCACAATCCCATTATTACTTGCCCATTATGCACTTCTCATGACTAGTATACTCAAGAGCTTTTTCTTATATGTCTGAGGCAATTTGCCCCCCCCCCCCTTATCTTTAGCTTAATTCAGCTAAATTAGCATTCAGTTTAATGACTACAAGATCTAGTTGCATCCAGAATGTCCAGATGTCTAAATTCCAGGGTACTAGCAATATTTGAACATTTAAGCAGGTGAGGTCTCATTTTCTTCCATAAAAAGTTAGGGAGTAATGGAGCATTTGCAATTTTCCCCATGATGGCTACATTGCAATGACTACAAAGGATGCTAATAACAGAATATAGCAGTGATGCTATAATGACATATAGCATGAATAATTGCCATCATGAAAAGAGCCATTCTGATTACAAGTTTAAAATTATTACTAATTGTCAACATTTTTATGTATCTAATTATAGTGCCATATATGTTTCTAGCAAGAAGTTATCTCAAAGAATTGAAGATGCAGAATACAGAGAAATAAAGATGTTTTATTAGCATTACTCTGAAAAAACAGATGCATTGCCTCACTCAAGGGTCAACATGTATATTATGAGAGATTATGTAGGTTTATAATTTATGCAGGTTATTTTTAATTCTGCTTTTCACGGAATATCTGGTAACTGTCAAAATATAAGACAGACAAGCAGGCTTTGAAAAGGGAAATAAATTCAATCTGATATAAAAAAAGCTTCTGAAATATTTCCATTCCGAACTGCAATGTTCCTATTTGAGAATTCTTACTTTTTTTTTTAGATCACTGAATTCAAACTTCTATCCACTTTTATAAATATCAATTTTTATTCATCGGCCTCATCAGCTTTGAGATTTTAAAGTTATTTAGGATTTAGTATTATTTTCTAATTATTATCCCCAAAATGGTTGATATTTGGAAGGAAACAAAGAATCATTTGCTGCTAGCTGCTATGACTTTCAAATAGCAGCTTTTGAAATTGTTCCAGAATTCTCAGAAAAGCTTCAGTTAATACAGAGAATGTAGTGCTGCTGCTGGAGCCGAGTTTATGTGCTAGCATTGAGGTAATATTATCTCTACTGCCCACGTGACACAGTAATTTTCAATATACAATATTCCATACCTGGAAGACCAGGTATTCCTTCAGATCCATCAAGACCTGGGGGACCTTGCACTCCAGTGTCTCCTTTTTCTCCTCTTAGACCCATTCTTCCTTGAACTCCTAAAACAAAATTTCATTTTAAAAAAAATTACAAACCAACATCTTCAAGTAAGTTTTATGTAAAGTTTTAAGTTTTATAACTCTTAAAGCTAATGAAGCAGAAGTGGAGCATAGGATTTACACTCTGTGAACACACATAAGCAAGACACAAGATCACAATTAATGCTCTCCCTGTTTCCCATATGGAGACAAAAGGAAGCTTCTGAAAGCTTTCATAGGAAAATGTCTACACAAAAAGCCAGATAGCATTAGTTAAGTAGTTACAACTCATATACAGAGAGTCTATATTAATATTGCAAACAAAGGAGTTCTTCTGACAGTCAAGTATTTCTGAGAGGACTCAACTTTGCAATTCAGCATCTAGTTGGTAAGCGCACCCATGGGCTACTAATGTGTAAAACCAGCAACATGTAGCATATTTGTATATAAGCCTTTTAGTACTACTGACACATTATTACTGGTTTAACATTACAATAAAAGTTTTTTAAAGGAGTACGGACTTGTTAAAATGGAAATAAAAATTCAGTGTTAATATCCAACTACCCCATAAATAAAAAGGCAGTTACAGTGTGCAGCAGTGATTATTTCAAAGCCATGCAAATACTCTCAGTAGTAGAGTCAATTTTTTCCATTTTTTAGAGTCCACTGGAACCACAACATAGATGACAACCCTAACTAGTTTTGAATGACAGAACAATGAATATGTACCTTTTAAGCCTTGTTCTCCTTTATTTCCAATACCAACCAAGGTCTCAGATGGTCCAGGAAAACCTTTATCACCTGGTTCACCTTTTGCTCCAAGAAACCCTTTTCTTCCCTTTAGTCCTGGGAAGCCAGAAGAACCTGCAAGAAAATATAATTAAATTTTCTGAAGAAACCTCACTAGACAATAGCATAAAGGAAACAATGAAACTTCCATTTTCAAGTGCAGAAATTTCATTTATATTTAAATATACGTTCCAAATCCACAACCTAAACTATCTTCCTAATTACTCTAGTCATCAATAAAACATCTATGAGGACAATTATGGCAAGAGTATTGTGCCATAAACAGTAATTATTTCTTATACTAAATATACATATAATCTTGCATGTGTTGAATAGATATAATAATGATACTTGGAACATGAATGGGATGGAAAAAAATCAAGCAAAAAAAGCTCTCTGCTCTTTATTTAGCAAATTGCCAGCCACTTTTACAAATACCAATGAAATAGAAAAGGTGGCAATTCAAAACTGCTGGAGTAATGTCATTCAGTCTGCAGACTGCACATATACAGAAGCCAAAGATCTACCAAGACCCAAGAAATCCCAGTATGACACACATACTCAGGAGTGATAACATACATCAAGATGGATCACAAGACTAACTTCAGCATGGAAGTTCCTATATTCGAAGTAATAATGAAGGCAGATACTATGGCCACTTGCCTCTGATACCCGGGTTGCCAGGTCTTCCAATCATGCCAGGGGGTCCAGGAATTCCTAACCAGCCCACTATACCTGGCTCTCCCCTTGAGCCTGTGGAATTGAAACAATAGAAACATATTTGTTAGTATTTGATCAGTGAAACAGAACATTACTTCAGAAAACTACACATATGCCTGTCATTTAAGTGTTTAATTGCTTTTTTTTTTTTTTCCTCTCCATTTCTATAACACACTGTCCAAGCCAGTTTTCTAGTCTTTAACCACGGGAATGGTACTTATACATACAGTAACTTCCAAATCACCTAGATTAGTAGCTGCAACAGCTTCTGTCCATAAATGAAATAACTGACACTGAGGGTAATGTATCTGAGATCCACAAAGGGATGGGAAACCTGTCATGGGATGTATGGGAGAGACATTCCTTTCTGACTCAGGAGTTGAAGGCCAGCTGGGACATAACAACTCCCCTCAAATGACATAAGTCTAGGTTTCCATAACTGCCTCAAGTGCTACATGTTTATCACTAGTTTTATAGGTTGTATAAATAAAAAGGTATGTACCATCTCCTTCCCAGAGGATGATGAAGTATTTGATAGTAATGAAAAAATCTTTGTTAGAGATAAGAAGCATTACATAGCTGATTTCTTTTATTCTAGAAATCAAATTTGAACACATTTCTGAAAAAAACCCTACAGGGATTACCCACCTTAAAGTTAGCTCTGATTTATGTGACAGAGTTTGATCTGACTTGACTGTCAGACTCAAGATCTGAACTCACTTTTCAAGGAAAAGAACATAGCATTAACAAGCTCTCTGTTTGAAAAGGGATGCTCAGTAAGAACTAAACACACTTCAATTATGATGCGGAGTTGCTTTGGTTGTTAACTGTTTCATGTACTACTGCAAAGACGTTACTGTACAAAAAGCAGTGTGAGGTAACCCTCTCTTCTCAGAAGACTGTTTCAGAAAATTCAGTGCTGTGTCATGACACTCTTCATTTAGAAAATTGTTATTTATTTGTTTTCCATATAGATCTCAATGACATATGAAAGCTGTTGACAGAGGAATATTTCAGCATCTTCAATTTGGAAAATCATGACTGACACCTTTTTGCAGAGACTGACTTAATTTCTGTATCAAAACAAGTATTTGGGAAATCCTCACCTGGCACACCAGAGATTCCTGGCCTTCCAGACTGTCCCTTGGGACCAGGTAATCCTGTATTTCCCTGAAGACCTCTTAAACCAGGTTCCCCTGGTGTTCCATAGATTCCCGGGATACTCAAGCCAGGAGGACCTAGTTTGCCTTTTGAACCTTGCGAACCTCTTCCTCCTAAGAAAAATGCATGATAGTGTAGTACAGTACATCTGCCTAGAAAACAAACCTTCTTCTCTATCTTGTCATCATGAGAATGAAGCTCTTCTTGAACTCTGCCTGTTTGAGGGCTAAACATTAGATCTGTAAGACAACATACACATTCAGGAATTCTTAAGAGTTGTGGGTTGTTGGGTTGTTTCGTGTGGTTTTTGGTGGTTTTTTTTTTGTTTTTTTTTTTCTTCCTAAAGGGAAACAAAAGGTGAGAGTAGAAAATTCTGTTCTTTCTCAGAAAAATAAGAAAAACCCAAACATGAAAAACCCACCAATTATGCATGCATTCTCTAATAAAATAAAAAATGTACCAAAAAAAAAATTTAGAATTTTGAGATCATGTAGAGAAGGACTGTGCTAGGTACTCAAGCGTGCTTCTTTTGGAATGAAAATCATACACAGTATATGCAGTATTTTGAGACTGTAAATTGGTTTTCTACCTGGATGAGCTCTTCCTCTGTTTTGCTTCTTTATGAATCACATTGTACCAAGGAATCTAAGTTCAGCCCCATACAGGAGACATGACTGAAATATTCTTTTTCCTGCAGAATTCTGGCCAGTTTGTAATTACTCTTCATACTGTATAATATAATCTAAATCTTAATCCATCTTAATCAGTGCATGTGTTTCCTCCATCTGCAGAAAGTGCATCTTTTAAATGGGCTCACACTTTCTCACATACTATCCTACAACCAACGTCCAGAAACAACTTCAGCTCCCTCATGCCATTGTAAAGTAGAAACAAAACCCAGACGCACCGAGCCAAATGACACATTTGATTCAGAAGGTCCTACCTGGTTGGCCTGTAGCTCCCTGGCCACCAGGCAAACCTGGCAGGCCAATAACACATTCAGCAGGTTTCCCTGGAAAACCTGGATCTCCAGGAACTCCAGGTGAGCCACGATCTCCTAAAAGAAAAGAGTCCAGATTCACAATGATTTAAGCAGAAGTTTCAGGCTTTGAGTGAGCATTGTTTGACTTGGCTTCCCTTTCCTTAAAATAACTTGCAGTGCTCCCTGAGCTTGTTTGACAACAGTACCTCTTAGGCCATCATCACCATCGTGTCCAGCACGCCCTGGTAAGCCTGGAAGTCCTGGAAATCCAGGATCACCTTTTGAGCCAGGAATGCCATGACCTCCTGGTGAACCCAGTCTACCTGGCTCTCCAGGAATAACCATGCCTGGGTCACCCTGCAAGAGAGAGAAATGTAAACTATGTTTTGCAAATCTGCCAAAATAATTTATCCACCATGTAATTAACTAAGTACTTTTATTACAGTAATCTTCTCCAGATCCCTGAGGATCCTTCACATTATAGTTTTTAATGGCCCTGATTCAGCAGACCCCTGGACATTCCTTATCAACCAGCTGCAGGTTCCATACCAGAGGAGTAATTTGTCTAGACAGCTTTTGAACTCTGAACTGTAAGAAATTGCTACTGAGCAATGCAAGACACTTCCCTCCATTTGACCTTTACTGCACTGTGATGCTTACTGTAGCTGTGAAAATCTTTGGACTTGTACCTGAAAATCTGGTTGAAGTCTGCGCAAATACAACTTTTTATTTACTTTTATGAGTAATATTTTTATCAAAATATTTATTTATATAATCAAAGTCATTGCCCAGATATGTCTTAGAACACTCGTGTCATTGGGTTTTTTTAAATCATTCTTCTGAACGTTGTTTTCCATGAAGGCTAATTTTATCACAAATGTCCCAAGTCTATTCCCTGAAGGGGAACTTTGAATTAGTTGGTTTTTTTGGCTGACTGAACTTCTGTTTGTTTTGAGTACTAGCTTTGAGTATCAGCAAATTATATAGCAATAAAGCAGGTCAGTAAAGCTGCGTTTATAACAGTCACTGATGATATACTTGGACCACAAAGGCTATTCCACATCCAGCTGTTCTGTGATGTCAAACACAGATTAAATAATAAATAAAAAAACCCCACACCCTCAAACGCCACACTTTGTCATGTCAAAAAACACACAAAAGAATGGCATATGAGCACACAAAAAAAAGAAATGTCACTTTTTCAAAACACATAGGTATTATTGTTTTGTTCAGATTGGTATCCTGACTACAGAGTAGCCAAGAATCCTATATTTACATATGCCATCAGTAGATTAACTTCTGTTAATCAGCAAGAGTGGATGTAGTATTACCTCCAACCTATTTCCTTAATGCTTCACTTCAACAGAGCACTTGCTTAAATTAAATGTATACTTATTTGCTACTGACCTCCCGCAAATATGTGCTTAATTGCAATTTTTGAATAGCCATCTTTTCAGAAGCTATGGCCTTATTTATTTACTGTAAACAATGCAATATACTCCTCGGGCTCTGAAAACTGAAGTACCAAAACATCCCAAACACTTGGAGTTATGAAATCCTCGATCTGAATTTAAAATTTTATATTGAGCCCCTTTTTACATAAAGAATTCAGTTTAATAATTTGTACATCACTGGTCAGGAAGCATAGGAATTCCTGTAATTCTTTACACTTAATTTATTTGCTCAGTGTTACATTTAATGTGTGAGACCTATGGAAAAGTCTGTGCTGTGTTTCTAACCAAACCTTTTCTCCTGGATGTCCTAGGTTTCCAGCTCGGCCTGGATCTCCAATCTTTCCTTCACAACCTGGTGACCCTCTGCCTCCTGCAAGTCCTTTATCTCCTGCAAAAGGAATTAAATGGCGGTACAGATGCTATGGGTTATCACCTTATTTTACAAATGGGTATTTCTATGGATACAGTTATGAGCCTCTGACATGAAAGTAGCTTACATGAGCTGAAGACAGCATCTTGATTTCAGAGTTGATGTGACACACTGCATCTTGTACCTTACATATTCACTCAACATTGACTCTTAACAGTGCTTGGTTACTTGCTTCAAATTAGTTATTTAACATGGGAGGTTTTTTCCAAAGTGAAGCTATTCTGATGCCAGTTCCCTACTGTTTTCTTTAACAAGCATATTGATAATAGTTTTAGTATTGGATATTAAGAATTTGGTAATACTTCTAGTGTCCAAAAGGAGGTATGACTTTGCACAAGGAACGTCCAAATTCACAGTATTCAAAATGCTTTCTATTAGCTGCACATTAGAGCAGGTATTGTATATAACCAAAATTGATTAAAAATAAAGTACTGATGCTTATACATCTCTGTCTCTGTAACACATATCCAGGTAAAGAGAATCACTCTGAAATAAGTGTGGCACTCAAGTGAAGCTGTACCTGTTTGGTCAATATTCCAGGAAAAGTCAATGTCTTAAAATATTTTCCTACTACCACCTTTGATACTTGATTCTCTGAAATACTTAAAAATATTTCCAACTTACAGTTCATAAGCATTAAGGCAATAAATTACAAGAGTGCTAAAACCACTTTCCTGAATAATGTTCATTGATTTTTTTTTTTTTTTAAACTTGTTGATTGCTTTTAATGTGGACTAAAAAGAAGTAGATTTGGGGTTTTGTTGGTTTTTTGCTTTTTTTAAAGAACATTATCCAAAAGAGTATTTTACCTTTTGGACCTGGGTTTCCAGGAAACCCAAGCCCTGGAAAGCCTGTGTCACCTGTTGGACCTGGATGTCCTGAATCACCCGGCTGACCTCTTGCTCCAACCCTACCTGTACAAAGAAAGTAAGTAAACTGTGATGTATCTTACTGCAGTACATCAACTTGTAAGATTAGATGGTTTATAGTTCAACATTATTAATTAGGACACCACTGTATATTATTAGAATTTAGACACTATTTCTCCTTCACAGCAGGTTTCCACAGTTAAAAATGATAATTGTATTCACAATACCCAAAGCAGGCATGAGTCTGTGAGTTAGGTCTTTATGCCAATTGCCCAAATTCCAGACTTCTAGGAACAACTACATGCAGATACAAATTTTCCACTTGTTGAGAAGATACAAGCACACATTATAGGGGTGAAGTTCAGAACAGAAGGAACTATAAGAACAGAAACTACCTTAAGCTGGAGCTCTAAGGACTGTTGTTCTACAAAACCAAAGCAAAGATGCCTTACAGTTAACCTGACTTACTGTTATTCAGGGCATTCAAATATTCTGCAAAATTTAAAACACCAGCAACCAAAAAAATCCCACCTATAACCCAAGCCCAAAACCTACCCAAGAAAGAAAAATCAGGTTCTTAGTATCTTAGAACAATGGTTAGTAACAGTCACATCAAAAAGGAACCAAGAAACTTAGTAATACAGTTACTTTTTTGACTGTGTCTCTGCAAAGCATGAGAAGGGCTAAAGGCTTCAGGAAGATTAAGAATGCTTTAACCTAATTTTGTTCCTTCTGTATTGAAGGCTGTAGCAGTCCCAGCATAATTTAGGATACACTTTTGTCAAAATTATGCTAGAGGCACCTTTCTGGATACATAAGGTGGGGCATATGCCCCAGATGTTTCTGATTCTTGGAAGAACCAAGTCATAGCATAGGACTGCTTGGAATCTCTGCCATACTGCACACCATGGACATGGCCCTCTGTGCCCTTCCTATTCACACCCACTTCCCTCAGTTTTCTTGAAAAGAAATCTTACAGCTAATTCCATAGTTTCTGTACCACAGAAATCCTTTTCATAGTTATTTCAAAGTAACCCAACAGGTTACAGTAACCCATATAGCCAGAGCTGGAAGAGAAATCCCAGATTATCTCTGATTTTTACTCTGTTTAGTGCAGATGTACTCACCAGGCACTCCTGGGGGGCCAGGTAAACCATCTGGTCCCCGAGGTCCTGGCAACGCAGGCAATGGAGTTATCCTACTGGTCTCTCCTTTCAGACCTTCAGCAAATACATAATCAAAGATTACAAAGGCTTATAGTTTGGTAATATGTAATCTTAAGCATTTTAAAATATTAGTGATCCATTTACTTGGTTAAAAATGCAGTCTACTATAGTTTCCATATTTCTGAAACTCTAACAGACTTTGAAAAGCCTTCAGATCCTGGCTTCATAAAGCAAAAGAACTTTATTGACACCAAGCCCACCTTCAGTCTTCCTCTCAGCCCTCCTGCAGTCTAGTGGAGATGCAGAAAAGGAAGCACAGAGTCAGCAGGAAAATGACGCAATTGAGAAGTGCTTAATCTCCAATGCCATTTCATAAAGATTTAATGCATATTCTCTTTTAGAAACTTTGACTATATCTGCCATCCAATTTTGAGTTCTTCCAGATTATGCTTGCCTACAAATAATACATGCACTGCTATGTTTTTAGCACTCAAAAATTAAGTTCTTCATATCTTCCTCGATGACTTAGCTCACACTAATGATGATAACTAGATGCAAGTTTGAAAACTTCTTTTTTTTTTTTTTTTTCTTAATTCATGATGAGGACAGTCAAGCACTGGAAAAAGGTTGCCCAGGGATGACTGGAGGTTTTCAAGGCCCAACTGGATAATTCCTTGCCAGTAACTTGGTTTGATCTCATTGCTGACCCTGTCCTGAGCAGAATTTTTGACTAAATACCTCAATGGGTCCCATCCAACCTCAATTATCCTATAACCCTTTTGCTATTATCTCCAGTGGAACAAAGCTGGAACACACTGTGGAAATCTCGTTGCAAAAACACCTTCCCATTTCATAAATTATGTCTTTGTCTTGAATCTATCTGCAATTTCAACCAAGTACTCTTTAACATTAAAACATTATAAAATTGGAAGTTACGAACCAGCTTCTCCAGGTAATCCAGGTGGGCCAGGTATTCCTTTAGAGCCTTTGAAACCTCTTATGCCTTGTGATCCATATCCCGGCAGTCCAGGAAGCCCCATCTCACCAGGAGCACCAACACTGCCAGGCAACCCCGGTAGTCCTCTATCTCCTTTTGAGCCAGACAATCCCTATTAATGATTACACACGTGTCTGTATCAAACATTACTTGCTCACTACATCAGCTTTCATAACAAAATGCCCGGTTCTCCGTCTGACTATAATCTTTCATTACTTCGGTAATATCGTAGCTCTGATAATTTAAGAGGAATTTTTCCTCTGGTTTACTTGTGAGTAAAATTTGAATACCAATAGTTACAAATTGAGGGCTAAAAGAGTGAAATAGTACAAACAAATACACCAGCTTGATTTTTTCAGTCACTGTGGCACTATACTGTACACTTTTTTCCTTTTTAAGACGTTTGATTAAAAAAAAACCCTCAGCTCTGATTTGCCTTGAATACCATGGAGTCAGGTTTAGAGATAGTTACATCTGAATCACTAACAGTTTCTCAGCCAACACAACACAACAGTCATTGTTACTTATTGTTTCTGATGAACAAAGAGCTCTGCCCTAACGATTGATTCTAGTTTTAGGTCAGTCTTCACAGCTTTTGTGGTTTCTCTCAGCCCTGATTGAAGACTGAACAGGACCTGTTTAAATTATTATTTCCTTTTAAGCATTACAGAAATACCTAAACTAACACCACAACAAACTGCCAAGGTTTTTCAGCAACATATACCTAAACTAGCCTCATCTCTCTCTGGTATTACATAAGAATATTTACTCTTATTGTTTCATGCATATTGGTTATGCATACTGGTTGCTAACCAGTTGCTAAACCAGGTAGAGGATATTCATTTGAAGTATCAGAACAGACAAAACAGACTATTATACAAGATAAAAATATTGACTTAGGTTTTTATGAATTCTATATTAATTGTAAACAGTGTATACCCACCTCTTCACCTTTAGAACCCTTGGATCCTTTAGAGCCAGGTCTTCCCAGAAATCCACTTGAACCTTTTCTTCCTTTGTCTCCCCTGGCCCCTGGATCTCCTCGCTCACCTTTCGGCCCTTCTGGATACACATATCCTGCCTCACCTTTTGATCCTTTACGTCCTTGATCTCCTCTAAAACCTGGAGGTCCCTGGAGCAGATCAGTCAAAAGAATTTCAGTGCTAGACATGTGTCAACTGTTTTCCAGCTTTCTTTTTTTAAATTAAATATGTGAGAGTGGTCCTCTGTTCTCATCTTTATTCACAGTAACGGCACACTTCAATGAACAGTGGGTTGTTGTGTTGGGTTTTTTTGGGGGGG